GGGGGGGGGGGGGGATTGCATCAAAGAGATTAAATAATTTTTTTAACCTCTTTGGTGCACAGGGAAGCATACAGGTGGCAGCATCCCCAAAGCAGGATCTCCCAGCGTGTCTTCTGCAACCAGTGCCTAGAGACCTGGATGTGATACCTACCGGTTCTCCATCTCTTCTAGTCCCTCCTGGGGTGTTTTGCATCCCACAGAGCTCCCTCTTTCCCCTGCACAATTAACCTTTCCACAGGAGAGGGCGCTTCTCATACTCTGTTTGCACCAGGGATGCAGCATGGCATCGAGATGCAATCTCCAAGTGAAAGTAACGTGAATCATAAAAAGATAAATCTGTTATGCCAAATTAGGCTAATACTAATATCCTGCTAATAGATCTTAGTTGCTGTTATCATCAACACTTGGTAAGAAAGAGTAGCACTCTCTCATTATGTCTCATCACTGTAATTCAGATCACTGATAACTTCTAGGGTTTTAACTCTCTTACTCCGCCCCGTAAGAAGCGTTCAGAGATAACGAACCAAATACCAGCCTTGCCGAGAGATGGAAAGTCTGCTAAGGAGAGACGATAAGCTACGTGGTAAGAATTACACAAAACATCCCACGAATATCATCGACACAAGAAACCTCAAAATAAGCCTTCTCGGTACGCCATGCAACGATCCATCCCGCTCGGCAGCCTCAGTCCGCGACAGGATCCATGATCACAATGCACCCCTGTATGTTCAACGCTTTGTCATGAAATAATTTCTTGAGGGAGCTGAGGAATCAAAGAGAAGGGAGACACCATAGGAAAAAGGGGTTTGTAGGATGCACAAAGTCCTGAAATGCCTTGTAAACCTGAAGTCGCAGACGTTCTGAACGAGTATGCAAATAACTGAGCATTCAGAAAGCTACTGAGAAATGCATCAGCCTGTATCACAGTTCCCCATCTGTAAAATGGGACATTATTCCCTTGAGCACTGTCTGTCTTCTTGCAGGAGATACTAGAAAGAGCAGGCAGGTGTGTCATACGCATATTCAGAGCTTGCTGCAATGAGGCAGTGAATGGCGTGGAGGCGAATATAAGGGACGAAAGCACAACTTCTGATGAGTCAGCACTTTCAGGGTCCAATTCAAAGAACTTTATTTGCTTCTATTTATGCTGGGGCATCAGGAAAAAAAAAAATGCAGAGTGTCATTTTAAATTTGGATCTCCTTCTGGTAACATGGGCACTAGACCCTTGGGGACTTCACTGGGATTTTTGCTCACTGGAATATAATAGAATCATCTAGGTTGGAAGGGACCTTCAAGATCATCCAGTCCAACCATCAACCTAACACTGCCAAAACCATCACTAAACCATGTCCCTAAGCATCACGTCTACCCATCTTTTAAATACCTCCAGGGATGATGATTCCACCACTTCCCGGGGCAGTCTGTTCCAATGTTTGATAACCCTTTTGGTGAAGAAATTTTTCCTAATACCCAATCTAAACCTTCCCTGGTGCAACTTGAGGTCATTTCCTCTTGTCCTGTCGCCTGTCACCTGGGAGAAGAGATCCAAGCTAAACAACCCCAGTTCCCTCAGCTGCTCCTCATAAAACTCAGCCACTCCTCATAAGACATCAGCTGCTCCTCAGAAGATAATATTTTGGTATTTGGAGGTGTTTTCTTGCTTCCAAAAGGTAAGAGTAATGTTGAACCACAGAGTTGATGTCCAGACTGGAAACACGCAAGGCCAAGCTCTCACAAGGCTTATAGTCCCTCTCTGGGTACAGGACTGAAAACAACCAGTTAACACTAGTAGCATTTGCTGTTGCAGCTTCTGCACACAGTAGACCACCTGTAATAATCTTTAAAACCCTCAGTGCTTTGGGAGCCCTCATAGCCACCCATGTGGACACTGCCCCTCAAGTGGCACAGGTTTTGTGGGTTGGGAAGCATTTTCTTAGCACCAGATTTATGGAATGGGTCTCTGACAGCGTGAGCACAACACGCTGGAAGCAACGGCACTATTACTTACCTAGTTTGATAATTTTAGAGTTGGTTTGTGCCTTTCTTAAATGTAGTTGAGAAGGCTGGGCTCATGCTACCCACTACAGGTATTTTTCATTATTGTACATTTTACATTTATAGGTGACTTGGCAATATGTTGGATAAAAGACATTTGAGAAGGTATTTAAAAAAATCATGTCATTTTTCACTGAGCTGCATGTATGGTTCCTGTCTGCCTCTAATTCTTTTGGTCAATTCTTTCCTAAAATAAGGCTTATGAAAATGGATAGTCCATAGCTCCCAATGGAATGCTGCACTTAAATGTGTTGCTTGCAGTAATAGCTGTGTCCCAAAGGTAAAAAAACGCACAAGGGTCAAACTAAACTCAGGACTGGATGCAGCAATATGCAAAAGGGAGAAAAAATGTAGATTAAATAACAAGGGAAGTCAGGAGTATGGCTGACTTCTTGCTTTCTTGAATGTTACTGTAAGACTAGCCCATCACCAAAAGGCAGGAGATTCCAGCCAGGCAAAGTACAAATCTGAAGTTTCTGTCAGAAACAAGAGGGAGCAAACGGGGAACTCCCTTTGTACACTGGGGTGTGAAGCAGATACAGAAGATACTGAAGACAGGCTGTAACGTCATAAGAGAAAGGATTTGATGGGAAACAAAAGGTCAGCAGGTAACTTCAGTACTCCACAGGAGCAGAATTCAAAGGCGTGTGTGATTTTATAACTCGGCATGGGACTTTCCCTAACGACAGGATGAGTGGCCCCTGCTCACTCTATTCAAGGGTGAGTCACTCCCTCTTCTGACCAGAAATATTTCCCTCTCATGAGAGGGAAGAAGCTGGAAATTATATTAAATATTTGTCTTTTGGCTTTCTTAACATTCAGTTTCAGACACTAGAATCATTTCTTAGTCAAATTCCAAGATGAGAACCAACACTGTACATGGAAAAGTCCCATAAAATAATCTTTTTTTCTCTGGTGATACTGAAAATGATTACAAATAAATCAACTTGAAGTTAAAGCCAAGTGGTGAAACCAGCCCTCCTCTCCTGAAGCCTGTGGAAAGTTGCATGTGAAGCTGAACTTTTTTGCTGGCCTGTGGTTTCAGATCATAATGACTTCAAACCATCAGAATTTGGAGAAAATATTTTTTTTAATTTGTTTTTTATTTTTTTTTTTTTTTAATGTAGAAATGTAGCTTGGACATATCCTTCCAATATGAATGTATGATCCTGACTTGTCAGTGCTTTAGCATCACATGTCTAATTCACTAACATGAAGAAAAGCTTTTATGAAAGTGACCTATCATTCAAATATTCAGTGCATCAATCAACTATGGGTTGCAAGTCTACTGCCTCCATTCTGAACCATGCAGCAGAAGTTTCGTTTCAGAAATGACAGAAATGACACTGAGAGGTTAATTCCCGTTTTTTTATACTTCCAGTTTCTGTTTTGGACACACTTCTTTGTGTTTTCCAGTGCAATTAAAGCCCTTAAATGCTTTTGAGTAAGGGGTGATGTCTTCCACAAGAGGGCACCAGACTCTATCCTATTTCTCCTGCTGCACAGGGTGGACTTCACAATGGCAGGAAAAAAAGAAATTTTACCCCTTGTATCTCTTAAATTCGCAGCCTGTAATCATAAATTTGTAAGACTGTGCTGCTCGGTCAAACAGTCCGTACAGATGAGTGTGTTTATGTGTGTTCTTGCTTACCATACAGAGAGCTGTTGGAGCAGACATAAGATTCAGTTATAAAGTTTATCTAGCTACGGGCAGAAACACGCAACCTTTTTCCAATGGTGACTACAGCCAAGAATTAAAAACAAAAGAAAAAAAAACCAGAACTGAAAACAAGCAAGAAAAATCATGGGGAGAAAAAGAGAGAGTCAATTGCCTTGCGTCTCACAACAGAAAATGAAGGATGATGGAACTTGCCAGGATCTGTCCGTGATTCCCTGGAGAGGCTGTAAGTGGCAGGAGGCAAACATACCATCTAAGGCGTTCAGCTGAGCCACAGCCCCTGCGCTATCTAAACACCCAGCAAATTCTAAACAACTCTTTCACAGAGCCCCATTCTGCCTCCCTGTCTCAGCAAACCGCTCTCCACATTGTCCTGCACCACTGCTCCCTGCAGCTCCAGTGACTTTATCCCAAGTCTACTGGCAGTTGGTGCTATTTGTTGGTCAGATTAAGTAAGGCCAATTAAAGATTTATTATGCCGTTAACATTAGACATGTCAAAATGTTTGCTGGAACCAAAAGAGAACCAGGAGACATGAGTTAACATTCCTTTATTGTCCCACCAAAGCACAGGGCTGGAGCAGAGAACAAGACCAGCTCACAGCCTGTTATCTATGTTCATACTCATGCTTCTAATTGGCTTAACCCTTTAACCAGATAAGGCAAGACAGGAATTAGCAATCATTCTTTTAGAAAAAAATAGGGTAAAAAAAAAATCATGCCTTAGTTTACCTATTTCTTATGCTCATTTTTTGGTATCCTCATTAAACTATAATTGCTATGTTCCTACTTTAATTTTTGATATATTGTTTTCTTATAGATTGTGTAATTCAGATAAGTCACCATCAAATCAACATCAGCAATAATTTGTGGATACAGTATGTGGTCCAGTTTAACCTATCGATTCACCAGACTAAAACAACCCAAATGCTCCAACAAGACAGCACAGCCTTTGTCTACTCTTCCAGGGAGGACAGAGGGTTGATTTAACTTGCAGATAAAGCCTTAACTTCTATACCAGCATACTTCTCTTACGGATGCTTAATTTTATTCTCCTTGTTATTACTGATGGGTCTAAGGAAAATCACGTTTCACTAATGCCATCAATGGCTTGTTACTGAAGTCTCAACCACTAGAATTAAGTTACTGCATAAGAAACTCAGTGTTTTTATTTTTCCACTTTTTTTCCTCTGGTTTTCATGGTCCAAATGCTTAACAACCTTAAGGCAAACTTAAAAATAAGCAACTGACCTACATATTCTTAAAAGTTTTGTAAGCTTTAACTGTGCTTTTTGAATGGTAACTCTCCAGTTCGCCACTATTGCGGGAATTACTTTCCCACTGGTATTGCAATTTTCAGGGATACAACTTCTAGAAACAGCACAGTGCCTTCCAAAAGGCTGGTTTCAAGAGCAAAACACTGTAATATCAAAAGATGCAGAACAGCAAAGATGTAAGCCTCAAATCTGGCCTAAAAGATCTGAAAGCCACACTCTAATGTATGTCCAAGGATATATGAAAAAGGAATTATTCATTAACTTCTCCAGCTTGCAACTGCTTCAGGCTATTTTGTTCTTACAGTATCTGCGGTTTTCAAAGGAAGGTAGAGCTGGTGGGGGAAAAAAAAACCTTCATATGCACAGCACAAACACATTCATCAGAAACAGAGTAATTCCCGAGATGAAAATATGGTACTTAGCTTGCTGCAAAGAAAGGAATACCTTGTGTAGTGACAGGCTGCACATGTTTTTTGAGCTTGTGGGTGCTATTTAATAGTAGATGCTTAGTTGCTATAGCAACTGTCATACCCTATGGTATTTATGCTTAGATATGGAACACATATTTTAAGCAGCACCAGACAACATGGCATTCAAGTGTCCAAAATGTATGTTTAAAAGAAAATCCCCGTTATGAAGCAAGTAGGTGTGTTCCTCTAGTTATTAGAAAACCTTTATAACGCAACACTTTCACAACAACAAAACAATCTGGTCCTTCACAAATATAAAACAGAACTACCACGATGATCCAGAAGAGGGCTGAGAAGCCTTAAAATAAAACCCCAAACAACATTCAGCGCTTTAAAATCCATCTTTGCTAACTGCTACTGCATAATGTGGAGACTTTTGCTGTTTGGCGCAGTGCATGGTGCTCTGCCACTAGAGGTTTCCATTGCAGTACCTTGCTAGGTACTCTTTTGAAAGTCTTAACTTCGTATCATCTGGGCTTTGTTCCTAGCACAGATGTCCACTACCAACACAAAGCCCCATGCTGGCTGTTTGCCCCTGCCTGCCAGCGTGCATACACGTTATTTGTGGTTTCACAGCTGGAATTTCTCAAGCATGCTCTATAGCCCCTTTGGCTTTCTAGTTTTGCACATCACCCACCAACAGAGAACGCTTCCTCTGAATTTGCTGGCAACGGTAAATCTTGCCCAAAACACTTTTTTTGTTTTTATTTTCTCATATCCTGGTTGTTGAGGAACATAAACGGATATTTTAATAGGAGGGCACTCTTTCTTTCAGGTCCTTTCCACCATAAGAGAAAACTGATGGTCAGCAACTTCTACAGCTGTCTCTGAAGGGTCCGTAACTCCAACACAGCCACTTCAGCCAGGCAGGCTACAACAGTTTGCAGAGTAGTACAAGCCTAATACCTTTCCTGTGTCCTGTTTCCACCGTATTTCCTTCAGTCAAAACATATTAATACCTCTCCTTACCAACTTATTATAGGTTCCATAGAGTCACTAGCTGATCTAGACAAACACAGTGGTGCTAGTTTTAGCAACATAGGGTTTCTCAGTCTGAACAAGCTCTTTTTAGTCCATTCTTTGCTCATGTCAGCACTAATCCCCCAGGCCTCCGAGTAGATCGATCAGGTACCCACAGCCATAAAACCTAGGGCCTGAGGATAGTGGCTCGAGGCAGGCAACAGATTTGCTTTGACACCATTGTACCGACAGCCACGTGCCCTCCCTCCCACCATCCTTCTACTGCCGCTCTTCAGTTTTTCACCAGCACAAACACCCAGATGAGCCAACACAGCCAGACAGCTCTGGCCATATTCAGACATGTATTAGCTGGTGCACAGATTACTTGGTGCGATGAGTGCTGTGACTATGCTATTCTCATTTTGTAAGCCACTGACATTTGATGCTAGCATCACTATCACCCAACATCAAGCTACGGTTAGCCCACAAATACTCACTCACTTACTATGAATGCTTTGGCTTGTTTTACGGGCACCAGATGCCTGCTGTTCTTCGTCCAACCCCTCCTACTGGTAGAGCAGCAGCCCTTCCGAGCTCATGGCCATGTAGGAGAAGCTTATCCTCGCTGAAGGCCGAGTAGAACTTCCCGCCACCTTTGGTGGTCCACACATTAACATGCTGTAACGATACGAAAACATTTTCTCTTAAATTCAGTGCGCTGTGACTGCAGACCACATGCCAAGAAGTTGTATCCTGTACCTGGCTGACAAGGCCTAGCTGAGCTGCTACAACAGGCTTACTTCTTAGGGAAAAGCCACATTTAATTACCCTTCTTAGCCTTTCTTCCATCTGCTCCTGGATTCTCCAGGCTAGCTCTGCTGCAGGAATGTGCTTGCCTGCAGAAGCACTCGGGACTGTTTCATAACGCTGCCTATCTCAGAGGTAATCGGAATTTGCCAGGTTGGGCTTAAAGGAAACAGTACATTACGAGTGGGCCTCCTGCCTTACTCTGGAGCCAAATTAAAAAGACAAACATATCTTAAATATCTTGAACAGTAATTCTGAAAGAAACAATACAGACTCAGAGCAAGTCTGCATTGTTTTTAGCAGGCAGAGGCGAGCAAGTTCTGTCCCCGTTCTGAACCAGTGGGCTCACAGCCAAACCTTCTTCCAAACCTCACACAGTCATAGAATCATGGAATTGTCTAGGTTGGAAGGGACCTTCAAGATCATCTAGTCCAACCATCAAGTTAACTCTGATTAAAAAAAAACATCACTAAACCATGTCACTAAGCACTATGTCAACCCATCTTTTAAATAATACCTCCAGAGTGCCTCAACCACTTCCCTCAGCAGTCCATTCCAATGCTTAATAACCCTTTCAGTGTAAAAAATGTTCCTAATATCCAAAGATGTGCGAGGTATCCAAAGATACACAGGACGTCTCAACTCCTGGACAGTTCATGTCACTCCGTGCACAGGGATGAGCAATACTAACCAGCCTTAAGAGTTTCACCAGAAATGCTAAGGGAGTGGGGTGAAAAAAGGCTGGGGGAAAAGTAAGTCTAGGTCCGGTCATTGCAAAAAAAAATTACTTTCCAGCACCTGTGAAGACTTGTACAGCTCATGATGGTTTGGTTTTTTTCTTTCTCATGCCAGTACGGCGCAGGGCTTGAGCTAACACACCTCGTCTGGCAGTAAGACTCGCTGGCCAGAGCACAGCACGGTACTGACGACAGCTCACGCCTTCCACTTCGGGGCTGAGTCATGTCTGGTTGGCTCCAAGCAGCGGCAGAGCGAGCACACGTTCTCCTGCACAACCACGCTCTGAACTATTCGCCCAGCTACATAAACCCCTGGGGCCCCTGGACCTGAGATAGAAAACTCTGCAGCCGCACACGAGCGCAGAGTGGAGAACGCTTCATTTGTCAGCTGGATATTGGTATTGAGACAGGGCTCCCATCCTATCTCGCTGAAAACTTATTTGTTTTAAAGCTTAAGCAACCTCCTGACTAATTTTCCTACCCTCTTTATCTGAGGGCTTGCAAGCCACTGGTTGTGAAACACCGCGCTAAGCCTCGTACAAACAGGGAGTAAGAGATAGTGCCTGTCAGAGCCCAAGAAACACTCCCTCCGAGAGACCTTTCCACATGCTAGAAATAATACCAGTGCAATGCCCCAGCTGAAAACTGAGGAACTTCATTCTCCCTGTATTTCTGTTTCTTACTCTCTTACTCACCTATATAAAGATTATCAGCCTTTTAAAACTGTTAAAACCCACCACTATTATAATAATTTGTAATGTGGAAATGTCATTGACTGAGATCCTTTGTGCAGCTAAAAATTGCACAAATAAACTGGAAAGTCTGACGTCGGGTTGGGTTTTTTTTTTTTTGTTTTTTGAAAATGCCGTTTCAGCCCTGCTCCCAGCCATTGAGTTCCTATTAATTTCTGTGGTTTTATAAACACCGTCCAACTCTAAACCAGCCTTCCCGTCACCGCTGATGTGTGAAAGTCTGGCCAGCTCAGCCGGAGCTGAGCAGCTCTGAAAAAGAAGCAGCAAAGCTCCCGAGGCATCAAGCACAGCCCAGCACGGGCTTGCTCCAAAAGGGAAAGAAGCAGGCTGGGAGGGAGGGAGTAGTGGCTGATTTCCAAGAAGCATGGCACGCAGGTCACACCACTCAGTACCAGCCACCGCCGGAGGAAGAGGCAGCCCTGCTCTCCCCAGGGATCCCGGGAGAACAGGATCTCTGCTGGAGCAGGCAGGCTGTGGGATGGGAAGAGCCAGAGCCAGCTGCCAGCACCATTCCTGCTGCCACTCAGTCATCGAATCATAGAGCGGTTTGGGTTGGAAGGGATCTTAAAAATCATTGAGTTCCAATCCCCCGGCCCTGGGCAGGGACACCTCCCACCACACTAGGCTGCTCAAAGCCCCATCCAGCCTGGCCTTGAACCCCTCCAGGGATGGGGCAGCCACAGCTTCTCTGGGCAACCTGTTCCAGTGCCTCACCACCCTCACAGTAAAGAATTTCTTTCTAATACCTAACCTAAATCTCCCTTATTTCAGTTTAAAACCATTACCCCCCATCCTATCACTACACTCCCTGATAGAGTCCCTCCCCATCTCTCCTGTAGACCCCATCTAGGCAATGGAAGGGGCTATAAGGTCTCCCCAGAGCCTTCTCTTCTCCAGGCTGACCAACCCCAATTCTCTCAGCCTGCCCTCAAAGGAGAGGTGCTCCAGTTCTTTGAGCACCTCTGTGGCCCTCTGCTGGACCTGTTCCCACCGGTCCATGTCAACAGGTCACGGGAGAGGTGGCACAACCAGAGCCCCTGGGCACATGGAGCTCTCACAGCCTGTCCTTCATCCACACCGAGGACAAGTAACTACTGCCTGCCCAAGGGGAGAGGCTCAGCAGCTCCACCTGAGTCGGCCCTCCTGCTCTGGGGCAGAGGCTCCAGTCCAAGTATCAGACGGGTGACCCATCTTCCTAGCAGAGACCTGCTGAGCTGATTTGCATCATTTTCCTCCCTATCACGTATGTCAGTCATTTCATCAGCAAGCAGGTTGCTCTGCAGCAGCTCACCAGGTGCAGTGCCTCTCAATTGTCTAGAAGATTTGAGCACATATCCTGAATTCAATTTTGGATTTAAAAGTCTCCTGCTGATTCTGACCTGTACTTTCCCTCCCCTTTTTTTTTCTTTTTTTTTTGTATGCAGTTATTGTCTTCATGTCAGTTTCCCCTACTAGATTGTTTTTTGCAGACGTTTCTTTCCAGTTCTGCCCACGATCTGTCTCTAGAACTTCAGCTTTAACTTAGACATCAGTTTTGCTTGTGCTTGCAGATTATCTTAGCTGCGAAAGTTTCGTGGCCTGTTTAGGAAATTGCCAGGTTTTCACCTGCTCTTTTTAACTCTGGTGTTAAAATTTCATTTACTGAAACCAGTAGGATGATGAAAAACTTTACCCTGTAGCTAAAATTTTATCGTTCTCTTTATCACATCATGGTTAAAATTCAATTAAATTCTTTGTAACACCATTTTAGTCCTATCAGAGATTGCCTTGCTTTCTAGTAAGTACTCTGGGGTGCATTGTTTTGCATACGTCTGTCCAGATTTTTCCATTTTGACTTTTCAAGTTTTGTTTCTCACGTATGCGAGATGTGAGAGCTGTTTACTCCCGAGAATAATAAATTCTTGTCATACCTCAAAGAGACACAGATAATTTCTCAGCTTTTCAAAGAAGATGGAGCACCGAGACCCTTGCACAATTTTTCTTTTGGTGGCGCAATCAGAAACACAGATGATGTTGGTTTTAAGCCACCAGGCATTCTCTCGTTTCACTGGAGACTTTATTGGGGGAAAAAACAAAACAAACACAAACCAAAATGTCACGACCTTTTCATTGTATCTAAAAGGGGAAAAAAGAAAGATAAAGGGACTGGACTTATGTACCTAACTATATAGATGATATCACTACAAGAGCAATACCAATGAGCTCCTCCAGCAGTGATCCTTCAGGCAACAGTACCCACGTTGCCTTGAAAGGGAAGTCCAGAGAGGCTCAAAGGTTCTTGATGGATTTGTTGTGGGATTACCTATTTGAATCCTTTGCAGCGAAACTAGAAGCAGCTAACACCGAGCTGAATAGAGCATGAGAACATCTCTCTTTGTGGTTTTGTTCTTTCAAAGTTTTGACTCTTATTTCTGTACCATGATGTCATAAGCGCCGTGCAAGAAACTGTAAAAAAAAAAAAAAAAAGAAAAAAAGTCCAACAAAAAACCAAGGGCTGCACTTTGCTTACTGCACTTTGTAACCTGTCTTGTCCCACAAACTTCTTTGCTTTGCTATGGAAATGTTATTTCCTCGTGCCTTCCCGTATCAAGCTAGAGCTTTCTGGTCGTTTACAGCCTTTCCCACCGAATCTTAGCCCCGAAGCCCAGCTAATATCCCCCCTCCTCCTGCTGCCTAGCCTACCCTTTCCCCATTTTCTTTCTCTCCTCGCTCCCCGCAGATCCTCCCCCGTCCGACCCGCAGGCTGCAGCCAGCAGCTGCCGTGCCTCTGCGGCTCTCCCGGCAGCCGGAGCCAGGACAAGCACGGCTCCCTCCCCCGGCCCCCCCGCCTCTTCTGGCGGCTTTGGAGGCAGCCAGCACGTAGCTGCGAGGCGGGGAAAGCGCCCGAGAAACCCTGGCTCGGCCTAAGTACTTGCAGATGTGCAGCAGCAGCGAGCTGGAAGCCATGGCAGGGTTCGAAGCTTTCGGGTGGTTTATTCTTTGGTTTTTTTTGGGGGGGGGGGTTTGGAACTTTTAGGACGGCGGCTTCCTGAGGGGTGCGAAGCTTCACTCCTTTCCACACCCCCCCCGCACACAACGCCCCAAGGAAGTGGCTTCCCCCGTCCTCGGGGCCGGGCCCAAACAGGAAATACCACAAGCCTTGCTAATGTCGTCATGAGGCCCGACACCCCCCACCGGGCGGCAGCACCGGGGAGAGGAGAAAGCGGCTGCGAGGGCGGGCGAACCAGCCGGCAGCGGGGGCTCCCCAGCCCTGAGGGAAGCGGCGCCCAGGGGACAGCGTGCGGCCGGGCCCAGCGTGGGGGAGGCAGCGCGGCCTACCCACCTTGAGGCTCCCTCAGCGCTCTGCAGCGGGGGCCAGGTCCGAACCTGTTCCCGCCGGAGGCCGTGGCCGGGAGCCCAGACACGCCACCGGCTCTTGGCTGCCGTTTGAAATCGGGACGGCCCCGCCTCGCCCCCCGCCTCCGCCTCCCGTCAGCCTCTCACGGCCGAGGGGAAGGGCTGGGCCGCCATGACAACCCCGCAGCCTGCCGTGGGCGGTGTCGCGGAGGGAGGGAGGGAGGGAGGGAGGGAGGGAGGAGCGGGCGAGCCCGGGCGCTATGGCAACAGCGCCGCCAATCGCGGCGGCGAGCGGCGCCTGCGGGGTTGGGCGGCAGCCAATAAGCAGCCGTCATTCCTTTGGGAGGCGTGGCTTCCGGCGGGAAGCCGGGGGCGGGG